CTGAAGGACTGCTTTAAGGATTTCAGATAAACCACTATATCATCGGGAGATATTACTGGGATATTTATTGAATTCATTGGACATAGTTTAAAAGGATAGTCAATGTTAGCATGTGAGTTAATGGAATAATTGGATTTAAAAAACTGAGCGAACATGTTAGAAATTGTTTGATTATCACTAGAGACGGTATTTTGATACTTCATGGCGGAAGGAAACCCACGTACATTTCGCTTGGAGTTTACGAAGTCATAAAATGATTTGGGGTTATATATTATACGCCGTTTGATTTTACACAAGTAAGCTTTATAACAATTTTTGTTTAATTCAAAAAACTTATGACGCAAAAGTGAGTATTTTACTTAGTATGAGTGTAAACCGGTTTTTTTGTGCAATCTAAAATAACGCGACTTTCTGTTTTTCAAATTTCTCAGTTCTTTAGTGAACCATAACTGTGTTTGCTCTTCAGGAACATACATGCGTTTAGGCACATGCTTTTCAAATAATTTATGTAAAGTAAAGTTAAAAAGTGCAACGCTTTGTTCAATATTTTCTTTAAATGCAGGCCGCGACAATCTAGACAGTTCTTTGTTAAGCATTTTAAAGTTGGCTTTCGAATAATCAAAGCGAATATTTGGTTCGTATGCTTGGGTACTGCAATTTTGACCATCACTTATAACTTCGTAAGATACCTCCATAGCAGGGTGGTAGACATCTTCGGGCAAAACTAGTGGATCACACTTATTTACAACGGACTTAGATGCATCATCAACATAAACAAGATCTAATACTTTACCAAACTTATTGTGAAGTACATTAACCTGAGTTAGGCAGAGTTCAGCCATCTCCTCTAAAAATACGTTGTTGCACGCACTAGACGCGAAAGGTACGATATCATTGTCAATGATGTTCCATGATATGCTTGGCAAATTAAAATCACCCAACACAATCATTGAATCAGAGGGTTTAGTCAGTAAATTAACTGATTTCAGTAAAGAGATGAGTCGTGAATACACCAATGTGTCAGATCGGGGAGGGATATAGCATAGAGCTAAGTAAATAGACCCTTTTCCAGCCTGTACACGAATGCATTTGAACTCTACTGAATCAATGTGTGGAAGACTAACTTCTTCAGATGGTATTGAAGAGTCTACAGCGAAGAGTACGCCACCGCCGATTTTGTCCTCCCTGACCTGTCTATATATATGATAATTATTTGGAGGAATCTCTGAATTGAAAATGTGAGGTTTCAGCCAAGTTTCAGTAAAAGAAAGAATATTATAATTACATTCAAGGCCTTTAAAGTATAAGTTCGTTAATTTAGTATTTAAGCCTCTTACATTTTGGTAATAAATACTTAAAGCAGATTTAATAATTAGTTTTTTGATTCAGTGTTATGACGGGGAATATTAGCTAAGTTATTTACTTTTTTGGGCCTATATTCGAATTCACGAACGAAAGCTCCGGGGGGCCAAAAAGAACTACTAAGCAGCGCATTAAAATTATCTAAATTTACGTCAATTTTAAATGAAGCAATATTTCTTTCGTAATTAAAATTAAATTTTCTGATGCTTAAGTCGACAGTTGTAATTTTTGATGAGATGTAAAGCTTTATATCGTCTTCGGTAGTGTCTCTCGAAAATCTAGAAACAAAGATTGACTTCTTTGGCGGAACCACAACTAGTTTCCTCGTATCAGACTGGACTACCGGTGGAGGGGGTTGAGTTTCTGCGTTAGTAGTTGAGGATAGGGAAGGCGGTGGAGGCTTTGAAGATGATGCCACCACTTCAATGGGGGAAGGGGAAGATACTTCAGGCTCTTTATTATCCGAAGCAGATTTCGTTGCACGGTCTTTTGAGGCTGAGGATTCTGATGCTGGAGGACACGGAGAGGATAAATTAATTAAGTCCGTCGGAAGATTATTCTGACGTGCAACGGCAGCAATTTCCTTAGATGGACTATGAAGACGCTTACGTTTAGACACACGGATATCCTTAACAGATTGCAAGGTATCTAAGCATTTGAATGATTAAAACATATTTTCATAATGCTTAAATTTTTCTGTCAGTACCGACAATTCTCTTCCTATTTCTGTAAAACCATTTCTGGTTTGCCTAAAAAGCTTGAAAAGATCAACTTCGGTTGACCTGTACTTTACGCAAGACCAGCGAAGGCCCTTGACATCATTAATAGCGTCCAGAATTCTTCCCGTCAAACCAGCACATTTCAGATGGTAAATACCATCACACAGCCAGCACGATAAGTAGCGTTCAGAATCGCTTTTAATTTGGCAAGTATCAAGATCACACTTCATATTAAAAGATTTATGTAATACGCTCGTTAATAAAAGACAAACAAAATAAATTATAACATTTAAGGAGCTGAAGTAAATAGCTTTAAATAAATGTAGCGAACAGTTTGAGTATCACTGTAATTATGACACTTAATAAACGCAACGCAAACAGCTGTGACAAGAATTACTAGAAGAAGTAAACAAAAAGAGTAGAACAAACATGCAAAAACAAAATGAATTATAACAATTAAGGAGCTGAAGTAAATAGCTTTAAATAAATGTAGCGAACAGTTTGAGTATCACTGTAATTATGACACTTAATAAACGCAACGCAAACAGCTGTGACAAGAATTACTAGAAGAAGTAAACAAAAAGAGTAGAACAAACATGCAAAAACAAAATGAATTAAATTAACTACAAAGGATACAACAACAATGATAGCAACAAATGACTCGGCAAAATTAGAATGTATGCTAGTGAAATTTAATTAAATTTACTTTAATATAAAACCAATAACTTTCACTTAGCTTCAATTATTTCACACTCTGATGCTCATAAGCACTTTTTATCACTACTTTAACACAGAATTAGCACAATGAACTTAGTAAGTAGAAAGCCAAAATCAGAACACAATAAAGTACAACCTCACAGCTTGACGTTTGCTTGAAATCTTATATGAAAAAAAATACAACGCAAAAGCCGTCAGCAAAATAATTATTAAAACTGATCGCGATTCTTTAGCCACATAAAATTGACACTTGTTTTACTCAAATCTCATAGGCGATGTTACTGTATAATTAAAATTTTTTTTTATATTTTCTAAATATTGTATAAAGTTTGGATTATATCGTAATAGCATGAATAATAATCAATTATATAAATAGGCAATCATGTTTCCTTTACACCCCTTTTACGGCTAAACTGTACTTCTAAGGTGTTTAGACCATCAGTCTAAATATTCCCACAAAATAATGTCCAGCCCTAATATTCTGACACGTTAGGGATCCGCCCTAATGTAGGCATATGTAGACACAAATACATACATATACATATACGCGCTAACACTAATATTCCGGCCGTTAACTATTATATCCCGCCGGACAGTGAACTTTCGTTAGGTTTCCCCTTGAAGCGGTAGCTAACTGTCCGGCGGTCTAAAGTAAAATTCGGTAAATCCTTTACTTCACTTCTTTTTGGAAGATCAAAGCGGAAGCATCGCAGCTACCAGGCCTCTTCACCACAGGTAATCTCATTGTCACGAGAAGCAAATATTCTTAGTTGTAATAATTTGACGCCAATAAATATTAAAAAATACTAATACAATTGCGTTTTATATCTTTTCTTTTATCATCAATAAAACCACGGATGCGCTCATTCGAAATCCCTGCGGCGCAACTGGGTTTCTTCATAAGGTATAAACAATTATATATCATTAGAAAGGTATTTTGATGCTGGCAATTTTTAAAATTTCAAATTAGTTTAAAATAGAGCGAAAAAATCAATTCAAAAGTCACACCAATACCAATGCCATACATGTACATGGTTGGGGCGGAAATGCCTCCTAAATGTATGCTTTAATATTGATAGTGAATTAAAGAAACGTGCTAAGCAGCAGTTTAGGAATAAGATGTATGTATGTATGTACATGAATAGATTAGCCTCAAACAAGGATGAAGATAATTTTGAGTATGGAGAAGAAGAAAGGGATAAATACAGAAATTAAAATAAAAGTAAAGAAACCTAAATATAAAGACAAAGAGGAAGGAAAATTTAAATACCTAACCTAATAACAATGGTGGGGGTGAATATGTAAATGAAGAAAAGAATGGACATATTTAGATCAGGATAAAGGAAAGGATAAAGATGAAGAAGAAGATGAAGACCAAGACGAGGAAGAAGATGAAGATGAATATGAAATAAGGATAAAGATAACTTATCTTCACTTAACTTACCTCACCTCAACTCATCTCACCTCCGCTTAAAAACTTACTCCACCTGAGTTCGCTACACATTAATACACCACACCTTAACTCCCCACACCTAAATCCACCACTACTTCACTCCCCACACCTAAATTCACCACACCTAAATCCACCACACCCCAACATTCTCACCACATCTTAACTCACCACACCTTAATTCACCACACCTCAACTTTCTCACCACACCTCAACTCACCACAACTAAATTCACCACACCTCTTAAGACCACCACACCTGAATTCATAACACCGTAACTCCCACACCCAATTCCACCACACTGCAACTCATCACACCCAATTTCAACACATGACATGATATCACTAAAGAAACAATGTAAAGAAAAAGAGGAAGGAAAATTTAACTACCTAACATAATAACAATGGTGGGGGTAAATACGTAAATGGAGAAAAGAATGAAGATATAGATCAGGATAAAGGAAAAGATAAATATGAAGACGAAGGTGAATATGAGGATGAAGATGAAGATGAAGGTGAAGATGAAGATGAAGATGAAGATGAAGATGAAGATGAAGATGAAGATGAAGATGAAGATGAAGATGAAGATGAAGATGAAGATGAAGATGAAGA